TCCAGGAGGCTGCTCTTGCCAATGCCTACGGGAGGCAGGGGCTGCAGCTGCAGCTCCTGCTCGAGCTGGTGTGGGGAACAGGCTATTTCTGGCCTGTTCCGAAACCCTGTTTTCGTGCCTGAGTCTTAGGTAGGTCGAACACAATGAGGGCCTGAAAATGGCCCTCCGTTTCAGGCTAAAAAGCCTCTGGGCCTGAAAGGCCCAGAAATAGGCTGAAACGGAATAGGGCCTGCAGACCCTCGTATTTCAGCTTTCAGGCTGAACGACGGGGGCCTGTAAGCTCTAAGTCTTAGGCTTTTAGGCTGAAAGTGCGGTACGGGCCCTGCAGGGCCCGTGTGGCTACGCAGTATGCCACAGCAACTGTATGAAATCCAGGCCATTGACCGCAGGTCAATCTGAGTCCTCGTATCCGGGAAACCAGAGGCCGGTCAATCTGCGTCAACACTACATATTGACCCAGCCCCTGCTCATTGACATTCAGTCTTGAACTTGCTGCTCGACGCCGGCATGACACTGGCTTGACGCTGGTTTGACGCTGGCACTACGCTGGCATTATGTCTGATGACGACGTCAGACTGCTGCATTGTGCTGCTGGCGCCTCTCTGTTCCTGGTGCCAGGCGGGATCTTCATTGCTGACGGGGCGCTAGCCACATTGCCTTTGACTCAGACAGGGGTATCGACGAGGAGGGAGGTCAGGGCTGTCCGATTTGGTGTGAGAGAGAGAGAAGCTTACCTTTCTATTGCTGTCAACATTGCGCACTGCTGTGACGTCTTCATGGGAGATCTGTGCCTATTTGGCACTATGTTGTGATCGGTTCTCGCCAGGCTCGTCCTTGGGACACTGTTCGCTGACGTGGACAGAGGGGAGATGCCCGAAGGAGGAGTGCTTCGTCCTTCGGTTACGAGACATTGTACTTCGGATCACATTCATGATTATTGGAGACATTGACATGCGCTGAGACATCTTGTACTTCGACATTGATGAGTTTCTCTCCTGACTGGGTTCATTGCCATACAAACAAAATTTGCATGGGAAGCATCTCAAAACTCATAGCCAATCTCGAGTTAAAAATAAAAAACTGCAACAAAACAAGAAATGTAGTCCCAATTATGGGAGTATGTGTGCAGGAGGACATACTTGCGTACGGGAGTATGTGTACTCGTGTATGTGAAACCTGTGTACACGTACTCCATGCTACCCAGGAGATGCGTTGCAATGGCTCCAGATTCTTGATGGTGATATTGTTCCAGCTGTGGTAGTCAATGCACATCCTAACTCCCCCATCCTTCTTCGGCAAGAATAATAGTGGCAAAGCATGTGGCGAAGTACTGGGCTGGAGCGACTGTCTTTCTGCAGTCTAGGGTTTATGTTCTCACGTCCCCTTAATTGTGTTTCCGGCTGCCTTTGCGTCTGATTTAGAGCTGGTGTTTTTGTCTTTTTTGTGCCCAATTTGCTTTCGGTTTGTTGCTTCTCTCTCCCCGGCGACTCCGCAGGTGTGCGGATACAAGTACGTAGTAGGGCCCCACTACTCCCCTATGTGCACAGAAGATCCAAAATGTGGTGATGTATCTTCCAATGTTCTAGCGGGCGATTTGTTTTCCGGTATTACCAAAATATGGCAATGTATTTTCCCATATTCTGGTGGGAGATTAATAGGGCCTCGCTCTACTACTTACCAAACGCACGGAAGACCCGAAATATGGCCTTTAATCTTCCCGTGTTCTAGCCAGAGATTCGTTTTCCGGTACTACCAAAATATGGGGATGTGTCTTCCCATGTTCCAGCGGGGGATTCATTTTTCGGTACAACTTGACACATGCACGGAAGACCCAAAATATGGTGATGAACCAATGGGCCTAGCTCAGTTGGTACACGCATGACCTGTTAAAATTAAGACCTCAGTTAGAATCCCCAGCAACAAAACGAAGAGAATAAGATATTGCTGCTTACCACCGTATTGTTTTACTTTTGTGCATGTGGTAAGTAGTGGATCGAGGCCGAATAGTTGTAGTCGGGAACTTAATCTCCTGTTAGGACTTTTGTGCGTGTGGTAAGTAGTGGATCGAGATCGCTTCTTGATTTATGTGTGTCGTCCTTGCGCAGCAGTCATGCTAATCTTCTCTGGATCGTTCATTTTTTTTTTTTTGAGAGACAGAAATTGTGGCAGTGTATCTCACCGTGTTCTGCCAAAAGATTCATTTGCAGGTCCTAGCTTAGGGCGGTGTCTCTCTCCACGTTTGATCACCTCATGCGTGAAGGACATAAATTTTGGTGGTGTGTCTGTGTTCCCTCCCCCCCCCCCCCCCCCCCCCCCCCCCCCCCCCCC